ATTATATCATTGGACATTGTCCTTCCATACCCTTCTTCATATTGTGATCTTCGTAGATTACTTGGAATATATTATTCCTTCAACACCCTCTCTTAATCGAGATAATCACAGTATGTATCACATCATTGTGTGTACTATGGTTTCTATGAACTATTGACGAGTTTCATGAACAAGTCATTCCTGTGGGGTTGTTGTCATGAAGAAATGAGGAAGCAAGCGTACAAGCTTCCAGGGTTTGAAATATTTAGAAACAATTGTTTTGTTTCAAGGACAATGTTTGCCCTATATTGATGCAGTTTAAATGGACTTGCTCAGGTCATTTAGAAACAAGAGTGTTGTTTCAAGGACAGTGTTTGCCCTGTGTTCACAATATATCTTAGATGAGTATGAGCATGGGCCACTAGAACTATGGTCATCAACAAACATCATAAGATACTATGACAAGGTTTAAACCAGGCATAATAAAGTGAACTTGGCTAATCATCATGGTGATTGCCATTTGATGCAGTTTAAAGACTTGCTTCAGGTCAAGGTGCTTGCAGTTTAATGACTTGCGCTAGGTCATTCATGGCGCTCAAAGCTGCCAAAAATTGAACAGTTTAACAACATGCCAAGGTCGTATAAATGCATGATTTGTAAAAAGAGACATTTAAGGCCCTGCCACGGCCCTTCAGTATCACTCCGGATACTGGGCTTCACCAGTTGTCCAACGCTGTCGTCAGTCATTGTCGAATTCACACGTTCTTGTCGTGCTCCCATGGATGCTTCCACTGTGCCATGAGGGCGGTGAAGTACCAAGTTCAAAACTCAACCAGTATATGTTTTTTATTACATAATCTTGCAAAGTCACGTGCCATAGGGCGCTCAAAGCTGCCCAGATCCAAATGCTTTTTAGAAACAAGGGTTTTGTTTCAGGGACTATGCTTGCCCTTACTTCACTAAAGTATTTAGAAACAGGAATTTGTTTCAGGGACAGTATCTGCCCTATTTGTCACAGTATATTTCACAGTATACTATGCAAATGGATATTCGATCGAGTGAAGATCTGGTATGCAAGATTTGATCAAATATTTTGGCTAGTCAAGTGTCATGCACTTCTTCAGATTTGATAACTCCACAATCTGGGCTGGCTTTATTTGGTTTCTAATCATTTTAAGGAAAAACAGCGGTTCTTTGTGATGTAAGAACTAGTATGAATGCAATCTCGGTTAGCTATCACTATGCTCAGTTGGATTGTTTTCTGCTTGCCTTCGCAGTATCCTATACTAATTTCCTGATTTAGAAATATCATTGTCAAGTGAATAACGAGCTTGCTGCGACAGTGGAGTTTGTCAACAACAGTCTACATCATCATGAACTATATATGGATGACTGCCATAAATGTGATGCAGTTTAATTGTCATGCTCAGGACTAAATGCCGCATCAATCAATGTTATAAGCTTTAAAGGGCTTAAGCAGTCTGTCAAGATGCTAGCCGAGCCTTGAAAAATACTCGCATTACCATAGATATCTGATGACTAGTCAGATACTCGCATGAAAAGACTAGTGTGTTTACTTGTCTACATGGTAAGCTTGATGTGCTTAATAGCACACTCCCTAATCTATGATTGGGTTGGGACTTGTGAGGAGCACCCCCTAATCTATGATTGGGTGTTTCCTTTCCCTATAGATATATGTCTATATTTTCTTCATATCACCCCCACATTTCACAAGTCGGGTTCATTGTTGGGAGACCGTGTGGAATGTACAGCATAATGGCTGTGTGGTAGAGGAACAGGAGGGTGGGAGGAAGGGGAAAGAAAAAAAAATAGTTTAATGACATTTCAGTCGTTGGGTGTACATATCTATTGTGTAGATCAATGTCTAATGAATGTACAACAATTTACCATCCAAATGGTGTCAATACTTGATTGCATATTGTGTGAACAATCCAGTTTCAAGTGTCAAGCACCTGCGTGGACCATTCTATGCGACCATAATCTCATGAATAAATTTTCAAGGATTTTATACAAGGGTAGTGTCGACGTCAGACTGTGTCTGGAGGATCAAATGGAGTGATAAATGTATATTTGTGTGTTCTCAATAAGATACTAATCAACAAACATGTGTATTTATATAGCGCCCATACAGGCGCAAATATGCCTAATTTATTTTTGGATTTTCCCAATAAGGTACTTATCACAAATAATAAATGTTATGGTTTCCCAATAAAGAAATACCAAAATGGGTAACTGGTCAGGTGACCTAGTTGAGCGCTAAAGAGCGCAGTTGCAGGGTGTCAAGGTTGAAGCGGGGCTCATAACCTGATAAATGAGGCTGTGTGCTACCAGCAGCAGGCACAGGCTTGACACTATGCAGTGAGGACTTTGTGGGCAAGGCTACAAGACTCCCAATGAAGGGGTCAAGTCTCTCAGTGGAGAAGTCACTATAGATTGTGGTGTAGCTACCTGGTATATATACATGTGGGTAAAGACCCCATATACCGGGTCTAGGACCTCTGGTATCTACAGCCACTGTCTACTTACATAGATGAGTAATACTACAGTATCTAACTGGCCAATGGCATATTTACTCAGTGTCGTATGATACTCTATGAATATCCTGATTGGTCAATGTCCTATCATATGATCTCTTGGGATTATATCATTGGACATTGTCCTTCCATACCCTTCTTCATATTATGATCTTCGTAGATTACTTGGAATATATTATTCCTTCAACACGGAGCCTACAAATGGACCCGATGCGTATATGGTCTGCCACAAATTATCTCGTCATTTTTAGTTTGCATCCGCAGCCTGTGACAGTCCAAGTATAGTCAGCTGTCCAGTGCTGCGAAATAATTTATACAGAGACTCGTAGACGTGCTTGTCACATTGCAGAAGCTCAAGTTTTGTGCTGAGTCCATGAAATGCGAGCAGCGCAACTTGCATTTCTTCTGTGTCGTCGGGAGACAGAAGAACTGAGTGTACCAGCAAAGTCCGAGAACTTGAAAGATGTCAACACAGGAAGCCGCATGCATATCTGTATTCACGCCACCACAGAAATCGACTCGAGTCTCGAACAAGCTTTGCAAGAGCTTTGTGGCACCGGAAGCAAACCAGCACTATGGGTGCCTATTGCACTTGGCCACGTTTCGGAGAATCTACAAGTAGTACTCAGGCATAGGGCATGATGTTTTCGAGCATGGCTATCGTGATGCATAAGCCGTGCTCGTGATGCATTATAACTCTGGCTGTCGGTGTGCTCTGCTGAAAAGATTGTGCTGGTACCCATATGCCGGACTCTCTGGAAACCAATGCTGCAATGCTTGGGGTCACATTCAGCATGCGTTTCACCAGGGGTCTTCGAGAAGGCGGTATGTAGTGCTGTAAAACTCTTCAACATTTGAACCGCCATCTTGTCCTCATCGATATCTTCTGCATCGATCCATTGCAGCGAATATCGTGGGACGCGCCCTCCTCGAGCTTTCTCGAGCTGTAGAGATTACATTCCTGAATGGACACGTCTCCAAGTCTCCACGACTTTCCATTCTTCTTCATCAATCCTAGCAGGTCCATTATGGTGCTGACGTCCTGCCAGCAATGTCGCCAGAACTTCAAAAGTGACGCAGCACTTCAAGCACATATCAGGGACTCTGTGATCCATAATGTCTGCCCTATCTGCAGCTATGACTTCCCTACTGCGCTCAGTCTCACCCAACATTTTGTGTTCGGGCCTAGTCCTCTATATTGTGTACTTTGCAGACAACAGTTCATCACGTACTGCAGTATGATCAAGCACTACAAGACCGTGCCTCATCACTGCTGCACCTCTTGCAGCTCTGTAAGCTCATTGGCCAGTACAAGTGTGATGCGACGTTCATGCCATGCATTGTGAGCAGGTCTTCTTTTCAGAGATAGAGCTTCAAGAGCATTGTTCAGCAAATCACTGATATTGTTTGAGCTGCAAATACATGTTCGAGAGTGAGAAAGATCTTATCATGCATTTGCGGTCTATTCACGGTGACTGCTACTGTGAAGCATGCGACTTTGTAAGTAACTTTGCACCCTCCTCGCCTGAGCTGTGAGTAATTGTGTGGCCATGTCTCAGGTCTTCAGTTTTGAGGCACGGTTGCACGACCACTATCACACACGAATGCAAGTCGTCTCCTCACCGGTCCCGGTGGCTCGTGAGTCCCTCCACTTATTGCCGCTCCTTCCCAAGCTACGAGCCTATCGTGGAATGGGTCTAAATTCGAATGTGTTCTTTGCCACAAGGAGTTTAGTCATCTTGGATGCCTAAATCAGCATCTCAACAGTCCAGCGCACGATGAGGAAATCTATAAATGCCCACGTGGTTGGCAGGGCTGTGGCACTGAGTTCTGCATGCTCAGTGCGCTCTGCCATCACGTAGAAAGTGAGCAGTGTGGAGTTCATCGGTTCAACAAGGCAGTGCAGGAAATGGTGGGGTCACTGACAAGTGACATGCATTGCCTCACTATGTGAGGCTGAACTTTGAGGACTCGCTGTTCGCGTAATCTTGGTTTGCATTTTATGAGACTGTTGGCTTGTAAGTCTGTTTTTGTTCCACAGCCCGCATATGCTTTTCAGGTTTTTTCATGCTGTGTATCTGCTCTCCATCTGCTATGTGTGATCATTTTGTTGCATCGTTCGCTTTCTTGTTGCTGCATTCTCTCATGTCGCTATGTATGTACTTGTGCTCGACATGTCGCATTACGGACTATTCATATTTTGATCTACTACTGAAAAGAGCATGTCAGCACCCGTATGTTGCTGAAAACGAGTGCTGTGATGCTCAGGGTCGCATTCAGCATGCGTTTCGAAGAGGGCCGGGGGGTCTTCGAGAAGACAGTATATAGCACCGTAACCCCTTGAACCCCCGTTTTGTCCTCATCGATATCTTCTGCATCGGTCTGTTGCAGCGAATATCATGGGACGTGCCCTCTTCTAGCATCACTTTCCCGAGCTGTAGACATTACACTACTGAACGGACACATCGCCACCACTAGCCTTGTGTTCTTGTTCATCAATCCCAACAGGTCCATTATGGCACCGATGTCCTGCCAGCAATGTCACAAAAACTTCGACAGCAATGCAGCGCTTCAAGCACATATCAGAGACTCTGGAATCCATAATGTATATCTTATCTACAGCTACGACTTCCCCACTGTGCTCGGTCTCACCCAACATTTCGTGTTCGAGCCTACTCCTCCATATTGTGTACTCTGCATACAGCAATCTACCACGTACTGCGGCAAGATCAAGCTTTATCAGGATGACCACTGCACCTCTTGCAGCTCACAACTGAAAGTCGTTATGACTTGCACACTCATCACCGACAATGCGAAAAACTGAGAAGTGGTCATTTCCACTGCAGAAAAGCTCATTGACTCTGCAGAAGTGTGATGCGACATTCATGCCATGAATTGTGAGCAGGTTTTCTTTTCAGAGGTAGAGCTTGAAGAGTATTTGTCACGGTAACACCAGACAAGAGATCAAAAAGACAAAAAGGGACAGTCACGTGGAACATGCCGCCCTGGTCCCCCTGATCCCAAAGAATCCCCCTGAACCCTTAAGTGGCACAAGAGCCTTCTGACTTACTAGTCGATGTGGCGAATGCAAGGAAGGGATAGAGATATATGAAGGAGCTTTGTAGGCTCAGTGAGTGCTATCGGTAGTAGACGAGGAGAAACAATCTGAAGTTTCGTCCTCTACATGGCTGGTCTTATATACACGTACAGCGGGCTACCTTACCTAAGCTACCTATCTACGGGTATAAGCAAATGGCCGTACATGAAATAATAGGATGTCCGGAAGTAGAACAATAAGTGGGAAGATCAATGGTTGCCGCAGTAATGCGTGTGCACATCATGCCTATCTTGGTTTCCCTTTTGTTCTCCAGTGTGAACATCGTGCCTATCTAGGCTTCTGGCTAAACTAATAGGAAGCGAAAGGCCGATGTATAACAATAGTCCTTGTT